TAAAAAAAAAAAAAAAAAAAAAAAGACTAGGTCACTAGGGTAATGCTGCCTTACCCTACATAACAGTATAAGACCTCTCAATACCACCTCACTACGGCAATAAGAAAGACCTTAAAAATGTATGTACTAATATGGACATGTGTATGGTACACATATCCACAATGTGCACTGCCCAAATCCCAACCTTACAGATATATTCCAACTTGTGCAGACACAATTTTACTGTTATTGTCATTATTTTCAGAGAAGTTGTTATATATATTTTACCTAAAAGTTATTAATTGCAATAAGGTTAGGAACCACTGCTTTCATATAATACTATACAAACAATTCTTATCTGGTGTCTCAAGGTGTTGACACAAGATAAAACAACATAGCAGAATGCCTGTAAAAACCCAAGCTCTACCTATGAACTCAGTGACGAAGGCATGATTCAAGCAAGTCAGCAAGAATAGCATTACACTGTACCAGTGGGAAATAGAATGCCAGAGTGAAAATGACTGGTGCAATCAAAATTCAGGGGTGGTCATGGTGGTATGCACGAGAAATCCCAGACACTTGAAAGACCAAGTAGGAAAATCTCAAGTTCAAGGCAATCCTGGGAAATGTAGGCCTTGTTTCAAAAATTAAGGGGCTGAGGATTTAGGTCAGCATGTGTGAGACTTGGGGTTCAAGTCCCCATACCACAAATCCCACAATTAACTTTTTTTTTAAAAGACAGGCTTTCACAGATGAGGCCAAGATGGCCTCACAGCAATCCTCATGCTTCTGCCTCCCAAGCACTAGGATTATAAGTGTGTACCACCACACCCAGCTAAGATGAACATTTTAAATATAGAGAAACTTCAAAACAAAATCCAAGAAAAATATTACTAATAGTAAAAAAAAAAAAAAACAACTAATAGTAAGAATGCTTTCAATCTGATTATTAGCTTAAAATGATTCAATTATAATAAACAAATATTTTCATCTTCATCCAGGAAACTCAGTAGTTGAATTCCACACAGAACTATCAGATATGTGCTTGGAAATTATCACATCATTGTTTTCTGGACTCAGACCTACCCTAGAGATGTTAATGTTATTTATGAGAAAATAACTGTAAGGCGTATGTCATCTTCTGCACCATCATTACTGATGAATTTATGCCTTAAAACCCCACAGGAAGAGAAAGCTAGTTGTTACCAGGTGTTGAGGAGAACAGGTGGCAGCAGAGGAGCTGACAGGCCCTGGTGCCATTGGACTGTTGTGTTGAGAATTTGTGAAGACAAGGGCTTGGCCAAAGCTCTGCTGTTGGGAAGTTTCAAAGGAGCCAACTTCTGACACTTGACCTGGAGGAACAGGCTTCCGGAGCAAGGATACTAGGTCAATGCTAAGCAAACAAAAATGCAAATGGAAAAAATAAGTCATAAGTAAATCTTGCTGACATACAAACTTAAGAAGAGAATTAATATAAATTTAAACTAGAAATTGTCTAAGTAAGCAGAACCTTTGAACATGAAGATTGACTGACTGCTTTTGGTTTTCTGAGACAAGGTCTCACTCTGTAGAGTTTAGTCTAGTCTTCCGGCAATTTTCCTGCCTCAGTCTCCCAAATGCTGGGATTACAGACTTATACCACTACACCCAACTTTTTTTTTTTTTTTAAGGGAGAAAGGTTTATTTAGCTCACAGTTTGTTGGAGGTCAGGAAGGAGGTGGTGGTACAGCAACAGCATCCTTAATCTCAGCATTGAACTATGACTCATAAACTAGATTTAACCATCTCTCAGTAGCTCAACTCCTATGACTCTATGGGACTCTGGAGGGATAGCTAGACACAACCTATAATATTCTGCCCTTGACTTCCTAAAAAACTTGAGCATATTTTTTTAAGGCTACACCCAACTTTAACATGGAGTTTTAAAGGTTCTCAAGTCGGAGTTGAAAGTATGACTTTCAAGAAAAAGAGAAACAAAGTGTACTGGCAAATATTCACAGAAATGATATGATGATTAATAGGAAAACCTGGACGCTTAATTTTCTGAAGTTTTGTACAAAAATGAAAATGACGCTAGAAAATCAATGAGTGAAAAAGTAATGAGCCACCCAGCATGGTGGCCCACCCCTGTAATCCCAGCATGGGGAGGGGGAGAAGCTTAGATAGGGCAGCTGTAGATTTTGAGGCCAGCCTGAGGTATACTGTGAATTCTAGTCCAGCTTGGACTAGGCAAGACTCTGTCTCAAACAAACAGAACAAATAAAGAAAACCTAGGCGTTTACTGCACTACCTGACCCAACGACCAAGAATGGAGGGTCAGTGGTACCTTTAAGGAAAAACAAATAGGGCAGACAAAAAAAGAAAGGGTATGGGGGAAGGAGAAACATTTGCACTATACAAGAAATTCTGAGCAATTCACAAAACAATGTGTTTTGAGATATAACTGCTAATCCTCTTTATTTTCCTAGAACGAATTCTCACAATTCTCATAATGCATACAGTTGAACTTTTCAAACAGGTTTTTATCATTCCAGGTTATGGCATTTTGAAGTCATTCACAACAGTGTTTATTTACAGTTTTCACAGTGATTCTAAAGCCCTTCAGAAATTCAGTTCAGTATAAATTGTAAGAACATTATTACCCTTTCCTTTTCTATAATCTAGAAGATTAAACTAAAGACTTCTCATCTAAGATGGGATTGGAGAAGATCCAAATAAATACTATTATATGAAGAAAGCAAAGGATGCAATGAAATATTCCATCAAAAAGCAACAGATTTATAAAAACAGAACCATGTAACAGGTTTAACATAATCTTTGCCACAGCTGACAATCGCTATTATTTTAACTCATCAGTGGATACAACCAATTAAGAAGTAATTAGAGCTTAGTTCACCAGGTATCTTTTTTTAGATAAAAAGAGAAAAAATAGAATTGACCCAAAAATGAAAACAGGTGTCCTAAATGCAAAGGTTTCAAGTATGCTTAAAAAAAAAGATGGCCCAAGTGTTTACCTTTGCCTAGGTATGACATCATTCTCTGCTGCAACTGATGAGGCAGTAAAGACTTTTGTTTCAGAAAGCTGTAGGATAAGTTTGAAAAAAAATACTGTTTGAATCTTATTCTGTACAATATTAAGACAAGCAAATACTGAATATCTCTGCTAATTTTTAGCCACTGGCCTTTTCTCAACTAAAGCAGTGGTGGTGAACCTTTTAGAGCCTTCAATGATAGCAGCAGGCTAGAGCTGGGCATGGTGGCGCACATCTGTAATCCCAGCATTTGGGAGGCTGAGGCAGGGGTACCACCAAGAGTTGAGCCCAGCTTAGATGCCACACAGTGAGTCCAGGCCAGCCACTACACAGCAAGACCCTGTCTCCAGACAGGAAAGAAGGAAGAAAACAGCTGGCTGCCACATGCAATAATGGATTCCCAACACTGACCTAATGGCTGTTTTAATCACTTAACAGTTTAGCTGAGCATCCTCAGATATACTGACTACCCTGAGCATGGATCAGGCAGATGTCATTTCAGACAGTCAATTTTTTTTCCCCATAATTTTATTGATAAACAAATAGCAATGAGACAGTTTCAAACCAAATTGGTAGGACAGTTTCAATAATTAACACATTGCATGCATTCTTCCTAGTGGTTAACTGCTGTACAAGATGCGGACTTGATATCCTATTTACAAACACCATTAGAACAAATCCCTCTATTCATTAAGAGAATGTAACTATATCTATCCTAACCATTTTGAATACACAGATACAAAATGGACATTCACCTGTATGCCCTTTTTTTGGTTAAGTTCCGTTATTTGAATATTATAGGTGTGCTAACTCAGCAAAATATTCTAAAAGAGTCCAGTAGTCCATAATAGTATTGGGTCTTCCGCTTGACTGACAATGTCAGAAATTGTTGACCTGAGTACCCTACAGCTCAACGTAACAGCATGGCTTTACTTCTTATACTTCATTTTTATACTTTTCTGCTGGATGGTTAAGACCAAGGTAAAGCAGGACCTATGCAACAAGAGTTGTAGCTTTTGGGTCTGATAAGGTCAGTCAAATCCCCTCAGGATTTATCCTGAGATCCTGTACCTCAGATTGTAGATCCTTTGTCAGTGTCAGCCATGTGGATGAGTCATGGCCATTGTTTGGCCAATGTGCTCTCTGTGAAAGCCTGAGAGAATATTTTCTCTCCATGTGACTCTCCTTAGGCACACTCTACATCATCGATCACTTTCCTTTTTGGCCTCATAATCTCCTTAATCAGAAAATTTGGGACACTACCAAGTTACATGACATTATAGTACAAGTTCTCATATGTCCTGAGTCTTAATTGACCTTGGAAGGCTAGAGCCAAAATGTTGGCCTTCCTTGCAGCAGTCAATTTTTTTATAAAAGTTGTCATTTTTATAACGTTATACTATCTTATAAAAATAACAAAAAATATGAACTTTTTGGTAGTACTGTATTTAAATAATTGGACTGGTAAGTGGTTCAAGGAAATTAAATAAACAAGGGACCATGACAAGTAATTTTCTTCAGGTAAAGGTAATCTTCAACCAATAAGCCTTATAAAGGACTTCACTTCAAGGAAATGGTAAGAAAAAATGAGAGAGCTGAAGATGTGGTTCAGGGGTAGAGTTCTTGCCATGTATGCATACACAAGGTTTAATCTCTAGCACTACAAAAAGAAAACAAAACCAAGAAAAAAGGGAAATGACATAGTGAGATGGAAGTCAAACTAGCTTCAAATCCCATTCTCATTACTCTATTTTTAATTTAATTTAATTTTTTTGTATTATAGGAAAGGGTCTACAGAGTGTTTAGGGTCTCACTACTAGATCAGACTTGAAGTGATCCGCCTGTTTACAGCCTCCCAAGAGCTGGGATTATAGGCACGTGCCACCACACTCATCTCAGCATGCCCCAGGGGCGGGGCCAGCACAACAGGCTTGGGGATCAAACTCCCAGCCCCTGCGCCTGCTTGCAGGTATTTTAATCCACTGAGCTATTTGGCCAGCCCTTTATTTATTGACTGATGGTACCAGGGATCAAACTCAGGACCTTATGCTTGCCAGACAAGCACTTATTCCACTGAGCTATCTCCCCGGCCGCTCCCTCTATCATTTATTTATTTATCATTACTCTATTGTTTATTAAACAAAATATAAATACAAACAAGTCAATATTATAAAAGCATCCAAGAAAGAGTAGCGAAGTTTGAAAAAGTAAAATAACTGATGATTTCTTAACCAAAGATACAGTATTTTTTTTTAATTTGCTTAACTTACATTTTACTTTATTAGCTCACAGTTTTCCTTATTTTCTTTTTCTTTCTTTTTTTTAAACGAATTTGGTTGTTACAGGGTCTCACTACAGAGCTCAGACTCATAGTGATCCTCCTTTTTTCAGCCTCCCGAGTGCTGTGATTACAGACATGTGCCACCATGCCTGGTCTCTCAGTGGCCAGCTCAGGGTGCCCATGGGTGGGGCCAGTGTGGCATGTGGTACTGGGGAATCAAACCCCAGTCTCTGCACTTGCCTAAGCAGGCGCTTAGTCCACTGAGTTATCTCACCAGCCCATGGGTTTCTTTTTTTAAAGAAAAATTAATTTCAGAATTGTAAGAGATACACCAAACATTAAAAAATGAGTTTTGGCATATGAATGATGCCCACAAAACCAATCACCATAATCAAGATAACAAACATTTACATTCCTCAAAAGTTTCCTCTTTCCCCATACCACAAAAAAAAGTTTCCTCTTGTCCCTACACTCCTCACTCTCATTACCTCCTTGCATCTGCAGGCAATCACAAACTCCATGCTTTCTTTTGCTTTTCTTTTTTGGTACTGGGGTTTGAGTTCAGGGCCTTTACATTAAGCTACACCCCTGGCTTTTAAAAAAAATTCTGAGATAGTGTTTTACTAACACACTAAGATCATCAAGCTGGGCTTGAATTTTTGATTCTTCTGTCTCAGCCTTGCAAAATGCTAGGATTACAGGTATGCCATACCACACCTGAAACTGCCAAGCTTTCTAACACCATAGCTTACAATGCATTTTCTAGAATTTTAGATGCAAAACAATTTTAATAAAACTGACTTTACTAGAATTAAAACTTCTGCTTCTAAACTAAGAAAATGGAGACAAGTTGTAGAACACAATAAAATATTTCCAAATTAACATATCTCAAGGCATATCTAGAATATCTAAAAATATTTCTAATTCAATAATAAAAATACAACTCAATGTTTGAAAAAGCAAAAAGATCAATAGATATATCCCTAAGAAAGATAAATAATAAGCAGATGTAAGGAAGCCTAACATTATTAGCCTAACATTATTATGTAAAATGCAGTCAATACAAGAGGTGCTATTCCACACTCATGGCTAGATTTTAAAAGAAAAAAAGAAACTATAACAGTAAGGATGTGAAGGAAATGGAGCTCTTGCACACTGCTGGTGAAACTCTGAAAGGCACAGCTGCTTGGAAAAATCTGGCAGTGCCTCAAAAAAAAACATGGAGTCTTTTTTTTTTTTTTTTCAAGCTATGGCATGTTTTATTCATGAAAAATTCTGCTTGGTTTATTTTTCACCAGTCTGTTCTGGCATGCTTCTAATGATATCAGAATCACCTGGATCAATGATTGCCAGTGTGCATACTCTGTAGTATTTTCCACATGCTGTGCCCAGTTCAATAGTATTGCCGCTGTAGTGGTGGACACCAGTTTTGGCCAACATAGCATAGTACTCTATTTCAGATTTCCTCAAGGCTGGGCAGTTGGTTGGCAAGGATGACCAATTTCGCTTTGCCCTGTCTGATCATCTTCAGCGTCTGCTTGTACCCCAGCACGTATTTTCCACTTTTCATAACAAGCTGGAGCCTACAGTTGATGGACTCCAGAGATTTTTTTCGTCTTTTTTGCAGCCACCATCTTCCTGTCTTAGGTGCGGACGGCCCTCAACCAGGAGCAGCCACCAAGATGGCCGGGGAACCAGAAAAAAAACATGGAGTCTTATAGCAATTTCTAACACCATAACTTACAATGCATTGATCCAGCAATACCTAAAGGTATGCATACAAGATAAATGAAAAAAAAAGAAAAAAATCAATCTGTAAAGACACCTGCACACAAATGTTTATAGTTTTTATATTATTTTTAAAATTAATTTTATTTGTATAGATATAATGACCACATTCATCATAAGGGAATTTTTGTATCTGTACATTGCATCTTGATTCTTTTTCCCCAACCACCTTCCCTGCCTTCAACCCCTCTTTTCCTCATTTCATTTCATTTTAGGTTTCTTGAGACAGGGTCTCACTATACAGTTCAGGCTGGCCTTGAGCTCACTTTGTAGCGCAGGCTGGTCTCAAACTCATAACAATCCTCCTGCCTCAGCCTCCAGAGTACTGGGATCATAGGTGTACACCACCATGCCCAGCTTGTCTCCTTATTTACAAAGACTTTGTTTCTATTTTTTCCTCTGTTCTCTTTTTTCTAGGTAAAAAAACTTTATTTTTTTGTATTTTAGGGAAGGGTCTACAGGGTGTTCTGGGTCTTATTACTAGTGATCCACCTGTTTACAGCCTCCCAAGTGCTGGGATTACAGGCGCATGCCACCACATCCAGTCTCAATTGCTGCCTCAGCAAATGCTGGGGACAGGGCTGGAATGGCAGACCTGGATGGAACCCCAGGCCCTGCGCCTGCTTGCAGGAACTTTAATCCACTGAGCTATTTGGCTGGCCCTCCCACGAGTTTTAAAGTATACATCCTTCTACCTGGATTCTTCTACTCAGGTAATTATTTTGAGATTTGTGTATATTTTTAACTAAATTTTACACAAATCAAAATAAATGTTTTGAAACCTTATTTGATATTAATGAAAACTATTTTTATTTTATTTATTTTATTGAGAAATAAGTATCAATGAGACAGTTTCAAAACTGATTAATAGGACAGTTTCAGTAATTAATACCTTGTACATTGTTATCTTCTTAGTGGTTATCCACAGTACAAGATGCAGACAGAACATCCTGTCCAAACACTATTAATACAAATCTTTCTTCTCATTGAATTAAGCGAAAGTAGCTGTACAACTATCCTAACTATTCTGCATATACAGACACAAAATGGTCCTTCCTTTGTATCGCCTTTTTTTGTTTAGTCCTGTCAGAAATGGGTATTCCATTGGCATCTAAATACTATAGGTGCTTGAATTCAGCAAAACAATCCAACAGTCCAGTAGTCCACAACAGTAGTGGGTTATCCACAGAAGTTGTTGACTTGAGCCCTTTATAGCTCAGCTATTAATATGGCTTTACTTCATATACCTCACTTTTATACTTTTCTGCTGGATGGTTAAGACCAAGATAAAACAAGACCTTTATAACAAGAAATGTAACTTTTGTATCTGATGAAAACTATACTTTTTAATATTTGCAATATTAAGAGAGTGGGCTTGGAAAAGCTAGACAATGTCCTAATTTAAAAAAAAAAAAATGGAAAACTAATAAAAACGATATTCAAGGGTTCCTTAACTTTTTTTTCCTTTTTTGTCTTTTGGAGGCATATAGTTCAAGCTGGCCTTGAGCTCACTCTGTTGCTCAGGTTGATCATGAGCTCACAATGATTCTCCTGCCTCAGCCTTCAAAGTGCTAGGACTACAGGCATGTGTCACCAAGTCCGGCTCTCCTTAATTCTTATTAACCCTAAACATCTCAGAATACTGACATACTGTATAAACTCAGATGTCCTGAGACACTAACATGCAAGTAGAGCCACACAGACAATAAAAGCACTAAATCAACTACTGATTTAACAAGGCCCTACACTGCACCCTGTTCCAGTGTTTCACTTAAGAGTCCCAATGAGGCCATTTTTGCCTTTAGAAACTTCTGAATTTAATAAAAGACAAAATAAAATGAAAGGGAGTTAGAGAATACACTTACAGCTTTATCTAAGTCTGAGGCAAACAGGATAGAACCTGGCTAGGAAAGATAGGAGAAAATGTCTCAGGATTTCTCCCAAGCATAGGTGGCCCCAAAAGCATTAATGGATCCAACTTGACACCAAATACTTACATCTTCAGTCCAGTCATCTGTTGTCCACTCTTCCACAGAATTTTTCCAGGCACCTGTTGAAAAAACCATAATCAAAATTAGGAGAAAACCAAGTATCTTCTTATTCCTAAAGATTATATATTATTTTGTATGCAATAACAAAATACACAGGATGTTTTTAAAATGCAGCTTAATAGTTATAAGGGCCAATCAATGTGTCAATCTGATTTTACCTCAAAGTTAATATTCAAGCAATTAAAATATAGACACACTACAAATAAACAGCTAACAATGGGCTAATCCCTTATACTATGCATTATTTAAACTGGAACAATATTAAGAGAAATCTGCTCCATAACTTTTTTTCAAGTGGAGTACTTAATTATCAAATCTAGAGAAGCAACTAGTGGCTTGCCCCTAGGTCTCCAACACAATTAACATTACTCTTCCTCCTCACACCATATGTCCTACTATACATCCAGAGGAACAGCACTTATGTATGCAAATAAAATTCATTTCATTCATCATCCACACCACACTTAGCTGTGTTGAAGAAAATATTGTGAAATAATCTGAACAGTTCTTACAGATCGTGTGTAACTACAAGTCCTTTAAATTAAAGCACCCTGGAATCACACACTCAGAGACACTGCTTTTCAGGATTGACCAGGATATTAATTATAACCATCCCAGAGAATGGAACTGTGTAAGTTTTCAGGTCCTTCATTGGAAGAAAGGAGTTAAGCATCTGATATACAAAATCTCATTTGTTATCAAAAGCTTCCATGGGGGGAAAGGAAAGGGAAAAGGGGAAACAACTCTGAGAGGATAAAGAAAACGAAAGTAGACAACCATAAGTTCCATAGAATTATGCAAATAACCTAACAAACAATCTCCTAATAAATTAAATCACTGCTGTTTCCCAGGAATATCAATGAATGCCTTTAACAGACCAGAACCAAGGACTGCTTACAGCAAACAATCAGAGAATTCATGCTTCTGTGAAGCACGGTTCCCTATAAAATGTTACAACTGTGCTGCTTTATGAATATAAAATGGAAATGATTCGAAACCAAAAACACTTTCTAGTATGGAGAAACCTACAATTATCACTTAGAAACCTCATCTGTTAGCTCAGTGGGGTGGCACTCTCCTATAATCCTAGCACTTGGGAGTATGTCTGTGCCAGAAGAACCGCAAGTTAGAGCCCAACATTCAAGTAAAGACATTTTAAAAAGCAAGCATGCTGGGGCACACACATAATCCCAGTGCTCATGAGGCTGAAGCAGGCGGATCACTGCCAAATGAGAGGCCACACTGAACTACATTGCAAGACCATATATCAAAAACCAAAAAATAAATATTTTCTTGTTTTTCTTTTTTGCAGTGCTGGAGACCAAGCCCAAGCCCTTTGTACACTACCCCTTTCACATATACATGCACACACACACACACATGCACGCACACTATAGATTTTTAAATTTTTGAGACAGAGGTCTCTTTGTTTTTTGAGATATGGCAGGGGAGATAGCTCAACGGTCTAAACACCTGCCTGGCAAGTGCAAGGACCCTGGTTCAATCACTGGTACTGCTTTTGATCCCTGGTACTACATGTGGTGCTGGCCACTGTGACTGGGCCTGGTGGCACAGGCCTGTAATACCAGTGCTGAGGAGGGTGAAACACAAGAATCACTACGAGTCCGAGCTGCATAGTGAGACCCTGTACTAAATACATACATTTTAAAAAAAGAAAACTTGATTTTTGAGACAGATTCTCACTATATAGTTCAGGCTGGCCTTGAACTTGTAATGATCCTCCCATGCCCAGCTAAAATTTCTTAAAGGTTTAAAGAAAGTCATAAAGCCAGGCATGGTGGCACTGTAATCCTAGCACTCAGGAGGCTGAGGCAGGAGGATGGTTTCAAGTTCGAGACCAACCTGAGCTACAAAAATGAGCTCAACACTAGCCTGAACTGCACAGTAAGATGCTGTCTCAAAAAAGACAGCAAAAAAATAAAAAATAAAAATAAAAAGTGACAGTTTAAATGAAAAATACAAAATGCAACTATGTGCAGTAGGAAATCAAGAGTGGATGCTTTGGTCTTTTGGCCCTTCGCAAGCCTCTCAGAACACATACTATTGCAAGAACCTAAACGAATCTGAGGTAAATCATCCACTTACATTTTACTCCCATTGTTTCACAACATGAAACACTAATATAGAAACTTTAAACACTAATATAAAAACTTTAATCTTTTATTTGCAGTTCTAAGGATTGAGTCTAAAGCCTTTGCATTGACCCATATTCCCAGCCCTTTTTTGAGGTAAATTCTTGCTATATTGCTAAACTGCCCAGACTGACCTTCAACTTGTGATCCTTCCACCTCCCAGAGTGTTGGCACTACAACACACGCACCACCACACCTGGACCCAGGCCACTAAGGGACCTGGTACAACACTGTCTCAAAGAAAAAAAAAAAAAAAAGCAGCCCTGGGGTCAATCCCCAGCATCAGGGAGAGAGGGACAGCAAGAGAGGAGAGAAGTGGGGTGGGAGGAAGGTAGGAAGAAAAAAAAGATGAAGAGAAAGGAGAAAGAACAGAGAGAAAGGACATTTTACAAGATTCTTTTTAAATTTTGTTTTGTTTTTTGTGGTGCTGAGGATCAAAACTAAGGATTCACATAGCTCAAAAATCATCTCACACTGTTAAAGGTCCCAGGCCTGTAAAAGTCTTTTTTTTTTTTGCTTTTGCTTTTCTTTTTTGAGACAATGTCTCACTGTGTAGTCCACAGTGGCCTCGAATTTGCAGCAATCTTCCTACCTCAGGCTCCAGAGTGCTGAAATTACAGGCACAAACCACCACACCTGGCTGTTATTTATTTATTTTTTTATTTTTTTAATGTATTTTGTACAGGGTCTCACTACACAGCTAGGACTAATAGTGAGCCTCCTGTTTTCAGCCTTCCAGCACTGGAATTACAGGTGTGCACCACCATACCCAGACTCAGTGGCTGGCTCAGTGTGCCCTGGGATGGAGCCAATGCATCAAGTGGTGCTGGGATCCAACCCCAGTCCCTACACTTGCCTACGCAGGCACTTAGTCCACTGAGCTACCTCACCATCCCTGCTAAGTAAATATTTAAAAGAAACATTTCATACCTTTCAGCTCATAAGAACTTTTGTTTGGCAGATTTTGGGTTATGTTGTGAGCATGTGTTGCCAGTTCTGTAGATAAATATAAAATGGAAAACTTTAACATACTGAAACAATGAAAGTAATAAAAGCAACTGACTAGCACATAAAAGAGAAAGTGTCAAAGTGCAGTACAGTAAACTTCTATCTGTGCTTTCAATTTCTATGGTCAAACAAGTTCTAAAAGTATTCAATGGAAAATTCCATAGACAGGGCCAGCCTAATAGCTCAGCAGACTAAAGCGCCTGCTTTGGCAGAGCTCAGCGGTTGGGGCTTAATCCCTGGCAGTGTGAAGCCGGCCCCACCCCTTAGGGCGTGCTGAGATGGAGACTGAGACTGGGCGTGGTGGCAGGTGCCTGTAATCCCAGCACTTGGGAGGTTGAAAGCAGGAGGATCACTATGAGTCTTATCTGTGTAGTG